ATGTGCTCACAGTGGAATCTGTTCATGAGTGAATATGTAGTATTTTGTTTGTATTGTGTTTTGCAGGATTTTCATTCTAGCAGTCGTGGCCCTGCTCGTGTTGTGGCTTGTCCTAGACACAAGACATCGTCCTGAGCAGCTGATATCGTTTGGAGGCGTGTGCATGTTTGTCTTGCTTGTATTCCTCTTGTCAGCGCACAGGACGGCGGTGAGTTTTACACTGAATCAATCAGTGACTCTACTCAGGGATTATAAATACAATTACTTTGCTGTTTCGAAACCTGCTTTGTTTTTCCCGCACACAAGTTATCTGTGCTCTGTTTTGCTGAGACTGGATATCACATTGACCTTGTGCCTCTATCATCTTAAGGTTTAGCACAAGTACTTCCGTCCAATAACACTAGGCTTTTATGGAGACTCCCTCATACGCTGATTGTCTAATTGTCTTCTCAGGTGACATGGAGGCCTGTGTTTTGGGGTCTCGGGATGCAGTTCTGCATTGGCCTTTTTGTTATAAGAACACAGCCTGGACTCGTAGCTTTCGAATGGCTCGGGAATCAAGTGAAGGTATTTCACTTGAATGGTTTCTTTTGGTGAAGCAGATGATTAACACTGTTTGTAAGAAGGTCTGTGAAAAGGTGCATTCTGCAGTATTTGTATATTATAAAAATCCATCCTTTTATTGCGAATATTATCTATTTGTATAATATCAATCCAAAAATGTCTATATTATATTCAACATATATCACAGTTAATGAGTCAGATGTATAGGCAACTCACCTAAATGTAAATAGAATGCCTAATAAATAACAAGAGTAGTTTAAATGGGAAACATATTTTTTGCCAGTCACATCATACATGATCCGGAAACTCTTGATTTGCTCAACAGACTTTACTCGTATGACACACAGTGTTCCTTATCTACTAACTCACAATATTCTTTATCTGTCATACATGGTTATTCTTATCTTGAAAGCTACTTTATTGGGCCGTTCGCCCTCAGTCTTAGGTCATCCGTGTGGTTGAATCAGCAGAATGTGTGCACAGGCATGTGGTCTGTTAATAACTTTAATCTGTCATTCACCCACTGTCGTTATTAAGTATTGTAAAGTATAATTAAGCAAGTAATTATAGCATATCATAATTTAAACGAGTCAGTGAATGAATGATTATTTTGGATAATATAACCCATGTTTCTTTCTCTTATAATTACAGATATTCCTCGAATACACAAAAGAAGGGTCGCTATTTGTTTTCGGGGATCTGATCACAGGCATTTTTGCCTTTCAAGTAAGAGGTTAAGATAAAAATCTCATAATATAATTATGAGATGATTCATGTTATAAAATATTTAAATTAAAAGTGTTTAACTTTAGTTTGGGGTTTCATCCTCAGGCTTTGCCCATTGTTGTGTTCTTCAGCAGCATCATGTCCATCCTATACTTTTTGGGGATAATGCAGTGGCTCATATTGAAGGTAAAGTAAAATTAAAACATATCCTGCACATCAAAAACACTATACATGTTGCTGCAGGTCTACACAGGTGTGTATTGCTTACTCCTGCAGAGTTACACTGTGACTAAGAGCATGTGTCTCCCTCCCCGCAGATCTCATGGGTAATGCAGATAACGATGGGAACCTCTCCCACAGAGACCTTGAGTGTTGCAGGCAACATATTTGTTGGCCAGGTCTGGGCCTCATTTTTCACAACACAATCTTCTATGACTTCGTTTTGAAGTTTTATAACAAATTAATCAATGTAATACAATCTTTACTTTTATTCTTTTTTTTTGTTTTTTGTGCGTTAGACTGAAGCACCGCTGCTGATCCGCCCCTATTTGAAGGACATGACCAAATCTGAGATCCATGCTGTCATGACTGGTGGATTTGCCACAATAGCAGGCAGTGTCATGGGGACATTCATCTTATTTGGGGTGAGAATAAACAGTTTTAATACGAGCACGTAATAATAATGATAAGGTCTTCCACATGTTTGTACCTGAAGTTCTTGTTGCTGAGAACGCCCAGCATATGAAAGTTGTTACTTCAGTGTGAATACAAGTCATGTGACGAATTGTCAATTAGCCAAGATGAGAAGTAAATTAAACTGTGTAAAAACACTAGTCCACTTAACTGAAAATGGCATTTGTATGAATTTATGTTGACTTAATTTATACTAATGTGGGATTGTGTGTTTTTGAAAAGATAAAGCAAGTTTAAACAGCAAATAATATTGAGTTAAACAACTTAACTTTCTTTATTTGAAACAAAGCTTCTCTTCAAGTTGAGTTTTCTCAAGTTCTCAGTTACTGGCTTTCATTTTTGTAATCCTTCCTCCCAATGCAACTTTTCATTTTTATTTTGGGCATCAGAACCTTATCTCAGATGACCCAGGACTGAACCTTGGGGGACTCCAAAGGAAATATTAGTTTTCTCTAAACAGAACTCCCCACAGAAAACTAAACAGCCTGTTCGGTACGACTTGGAACTCAACCTGTAGCTGAATTTAATCATTTGTTCCTGAAAATAATTAACTGTTATGGCATGACAGGCTGTACCAAAAACAGGTTTGAAGCTCACTGGAGAGAAGCCAGTCTGTTGGAGGTGGTTAATAATGTTCTGTTGCCAAAACCATCTTCAGGTAGTTTATTGATTGAAGATAAAAATACAAATTAGCATCAACTACATTGAAACTGAAAAAAATACTCTGGTCGGAGAGGAAACATTTGACTCTCACATGATCATTACTACAGTAAAAAGAAGACACAAAACATTACATCTACGTTATGAGGATTAATACTGGTGGTTTAACTGTGTTAGAATTAATTGAACTGTATAAGAAAAAAATAACACTAAAACAAAATAAAATAAAACAAATATTTGGACGTTTTCTGATTTGCAGTTCTATTATTTCAACAGTAAATAATTATGTTAGTCATTTACTCCACCATAGCTTCCTGCATTAAATGATGTTTCACTGTATTTTGCAGATTGATGCGTCGTCCCTGATCTCAGCCTCTGTGATGGCTGCTCCTTGTGCCCTGGCCATCTCCAAACTGTCTTATCCAGAGACAGAGGAGAGTCCCTTCAAGGATGAGAAGAACATCAAGGTGGCTTGTGGGTGTGTATATGTGTTTCCTATTTTCTTCTCAATCCTTTCAATAATGTTCACTGGCATTTGTTAGTTAGCAGGATTACGCAAAAGGTACAGAGGAACTGGACCTGGGGGTGGATTCAGGTTTTTTGGGTTGGTATTGATGAGTGAGTGCAATTTGGTGCGGATCCAAATAAAAATCTGAAAATGTGATTTTGTAAGAGTTTTAGGCTTTTCTTCAGCCAATGCTTAGCTATAACGCTTATTCTGTTTGGGGTGTCAAATCTTTTTTTTTTTTTTAAACCCTCCTAGAGATGAGCAGAACATCCTGGAGGCTGCAAGCAATGGAGCTTCTGCTTCCATAGGTCTCGTTGCCAACATCGCAGCAAACTTGATCGCCTTTCTTGCCATCCTTGCATTCATAAATGCATCTTTGAGTTGGTTTGGAGGCATGGTGGGATATCCGGACATCACATTTCAGGTATGAGTTAGCAAAACTATGATATACCTAAACTTGAACTCACAATTTAATTCATCATTCTGACATGTATTTATTTATGGAGATGTATGTGAGTCTAACAAATGAACTTTTGTATTTCTGTATTCACAGTTGATTTGCTCTTATGTGTTCATGCCTGTGGCCTTCATGATGGGTGTACCGTACAAAGATTGTTTCATTGTGGCCGAACTAATCGGCACAAAGCTCTTCATCAATGAGTTTGTGGCTTATGAGAAGTTGTCTGAACTGAAGAGCAACAGACTCAGTGGACTTTATGACGTTGAGTGGATATCTGTAAGTAAATGACAACGTACGTTTGCTTTACAATAATAAACAAGTTCAAATAAAAAAGTATAGAGGCACTGAACAAACATTTTTTATTTTTTCTCTTTCAGGTCCGATCAGAAATAATCACCACTTACGCTCTATGTGGGTTTGCCAACTTTAGCTCACTGGGAATTGTGATTGGTGGCCTCTGTAAGTATTTTACCATTCCATTCCATATACTGTATATATTTACCCTGGTTCAGTGTCAGGGATGTTTTTTGACGCACTGTTTTCTTTCACAAAAGCTTCCATATGCCCGTCAAAAAGAAGCGATATCTCGTCTCTTGTGTTTAGAGCTATGATCACCGGGACGTGTGTGTCTCTTGTAAATGCTTGCATTGCAGGTAAGAGCTTTCCGAATTTTTTTATATTGAGTATTTGTTTTTACTGCATCTAAAGAGCATCTTGCAGTGAAGTTTTACTCTTCCTCTCAGGGATCCTCTTTGTACCTCCGCCTGACTGTGTGCAACTGTTCCAAGAGTCTGCTTTCAATGTCATGGATGGAAACATTCAGACCTGCTGTCAAGACCTCTTTGAAAGGTACACGTTTACATTTGATTGAAACACAAATCTGACATACTGGATTCATAGATTTTTAAATTTGTATTTACATCTAGAATGGTTTCTTTTACAGCACTGTAAACAATGGGACCATCTCATTTGAAGGCTTCTGGGGCACAGTTGCAAACGCCACTGATTTTTTCTCGCAATGTTGCCAGTGCTGCAATTCTTCTAACGTTTGTCTGTAAAGACGAAAAATACACACCTGTTTTTTTTTTTTTTTACTGTTCAATCTCTGTGTTTATATATTGTGTGACAATTCCTGTAAAAATGTAAAAGCTGAATGCACATCTGTCATGTATTATACTGAAAATAAATTCAGAGATTTGGCTTTTATTTATTTTTAAAAAAGCCATTGAAAGGGACACACCTTTAGTAAATGTACCTCAGTTTGATGAATGTAAATGTTTCAAATACAGTTGAGTGACTTAATTATTTCATAATGTTATGGAAGATTATGAGAATAATTTTGTAAATGTGTTATATATAATAAAAGTTGGAATCATGTTGTATTCATTTATTTATTTATAAAAAACATTAGGTGACATGGTCTTCCATACCAAAGACAGCACACATTGTAAACACACATTTATTCACTCACTCACTCATTCACACTGTCCCTCACACACTTACTGCTGTTCTTCACATTACTTTAGATATTTAGTCCTCCGACTTTATGTATATGTAAACACAATACGACAATGTGTTCGCATGACACCACACCTTAACATCATCAGCTGACTTATTTTCTCAAATGTATTGATTCCGTTTCAAATATTTCTCCTATAATTGTATTTCCTTTCATTCATAAGGAGTCATGCAATTACATGAACACAGCAGAACTTTAAGAGCGAACATCTGGACTCTACTGTTGATCATTAACCAAGAAACAATAGAAGACATCCTCATAGGTTTCTCGTAAAAGGCAAGAAGTGACATCTCTTCTTGTAAACTGTGTCTTTTGGAATTTAACCGTGGATATCTGTGCAAACGTATGAGATATATGAATTGTTTTTTATTTCCATTCTAATCCTTCATCCATGCTGACTTGAAGAAATCCTGGTAATTGTTGACCAAGTGTACACAAGCAAAACTTACTGGTCTGTTGTTCAGCGAAAGGGTGATTTCATGCAGCGAGCCTTAGCAAGTGATCAGCGAGGCAGCAGACAGAGTCTACTCTCTCTGTGACCTCTTCACACAGTCCATAGTACAGTTTCAAATAGCTGGGTGGACCTCTGTGTGCAGACTTACCTAACTGCCGGAAACACACTCACATGTTTGCATGTCAATCAGCATAATAAGCATGCCGTAGTTGAAGAGTTCAATGGTAAGCCCTTACTACTTTGACATTCTCCATCATATATTCTGAAATACTGTAAAAGGGCGGATTAAAGATACAGACAACCTCTATAATAAATATATAAAGTACTCAAAAACTACTTAAAATGAAAAAATGCCAAAAAACAAACAAAGTGCACACAAACATCTTCGACCCAAAAGTGTAATTCCACAGCATAAGCTCAACTTTGCTCTGTGAAGAAATGCTGCATGTAGTTCAGTTCTACTTCTTAGCATAAATTACATCTCTAAAATAACCTTATACACAACACATGTACTGTACATCATAGATGCACATGTAGTGTTTCATACGAATACATAACCTCAATCACTTCTGTGGTTGTGGTCGTGTATATTTTATACTCCACAGTCTTTTTAATAAAACACTCAAACAGAAGAGTGACTTGCAGATATATTACGATATATTTGAAGCCGATTAATATGTTTGTCCCTTTACAGAGCTGATAAGACTCTGAGGCAGGTGTTTGAATGTGGTGTTTTTTATTCTCTAAAAGTAGAAAAACTTTTCTGTGCTGGTATCTTTTGAGCCAAAAAGGTCAAAAAAAACTTATGCCTATCTCTCCACACATTCTCATAAAACTTTTTAAACTATGTTGGAGTATATAAGTTAAGTAGCTGAGAAAGTTAACTCGTTAATTCACAGTGAGCTGTTTTTTTGACAAGTCAGGCCAACGAACCAGTGTTTTTCTCACAACTCTTTGTGTGCGTGCTGGCTTCGGTAGTTGGAAAGAAACAGGTTATTGGTAACCATTAAAAGCATTTAAATATTGCTGACTTAAAAAAAAACTACTTCCTATTGCATTTCAAGAGCATCAGCAGTTTCTGCAGGTTTGGTTTTGGTGTCTGATTTATTGTCCTCTGTCTCCTGAACTTTTCTGGTCACTTTTGGGCTAGAGTTGGCCTTTCTTGATATCTGAGGGCTGTGTCCTTTACGCTGCAGCTGCGGGCTCCCTGAGCCTAACTTGCGGTTGAGGAGGGGGCTCCGGGACCCCTTTATTTTGGTGGGCTGCTGCAGACTGTCCATATTCTTCAGGGAGCGCAGGCAGAGAAGTCCACAATAGTAGTTGCACTGGTGCTGCGTCAGGAACTGGTCGAAAACTTCTGGAGAGCCGCGTTCTGTTAATCCCTGGTATCTGAAATACAGAGGACAACTTTAGTATAGCAAAGAATATATCATTTGAATGTATTGAATAGAAATCAAGGATATAAATTAATTGGATACAAACCCTTTTGACTTGGTCACAACTCTAACATTTGTTAGCTTTGTTTCAACACCTGCAAATGCAGAGGAAAGATTGAGAGATTATTAATATTTTCATTCCCACTTACTTGTGTTATCACCTCGTACATATGGCTCACCTTCCAGTCGAGTGACGAGCAGATTGCCGTGTGTCCACTGATGGATCCAGTGCTGGAAGGAGCTGCATTTCTGCTCCACCTCAGAAACGGTTTGTGTGATCAGCTGGCCTTTAGGACCCATCATACAATATTTTTGAAAGACTCCTTCAAGGTTGGCCTCCACTGTGGCGTACGGCACAGAGTTCGCAGGGCGGTACATGAGATACTGAGGGATCACTCTGAGGGCAACACAAAGTAAACAGTGGGTTGATCTCTAACAGTGTTGTGCATTGCATATGAAGAATCAGAGTAAGCGTATAATTATTGTGGTACTCACTCTAGTGAAAAGCCAAAGTTCTCATTAACTCTCGCCTCTGCCGTAAAGATTTTACAGTATTCTCGTATCATGTTTTGGACTTTGCATTCCTGGCAACACAAGGAATTCATTCAATCAGACTCATATACTGCAATAACAATCACAATTGAACAATAAACAGTAGAAAATAAATCCACCACTCACTTGCTTAGTAATCTCTAGATTCCTCTCAGCCAGGTTGCTCTCTTGTTTAGTTCCGTACGCGATGGGGTTTAGAATTTTGATAATACAGTTGCTTCCGGAGTCAAAGATGGGATCGAGGCCGTAGATGACCCTCACTCTACTGGCTTTGTGAGCGCAACCCTCGCCGATGTGCACCGCTTCGTTCATGATGCGCCCAAAGTACTTGTCGCCCCAGCTGCCGCAGTCCACCAGGCCTTTGGTGAACAGCAGTGGTGTCATCTCGATCTCCTCTCCCACTAACAGAAAACACACTCACAGTGAGCAGTGATAGCACATAGAAAATGTGGATCTAGAAATACTGTGCAAATACTATACTGCGTTTGTATGCCTCCACCAACCACTGCAGTTTCCATCAACATTCTTTTCTCCAGATTCATATGAAGCCACCGTGACCTTTGACCATAGAAATCTAGTTCATCTTTGAGTCCAAGTGAATGTTTGCACCAAAGTTGAAGAACTGATCATAGGATATCACATTCAGGAAAAACAAACATATTTTAATTAATCCAGATGAGTCCAAGTGAATGTTTGTGCCAAATGTGAAAGGATTCCCTGGTGGCCTTCTGCCTCCACAAGGCGAAAAATGATATTTGTGAGGTTACAGTGACGTTGATCTTTGACCTCTAAAATCTAATCCAGTCATCCTTTAGTCCAAGTGAATGTTTTTACAGAATGTGAAGAAAATTCCCTCAAGGCCCTCTTGAGATATTGAGTTCACAGGAATGGGATGGATGAACAGACATACAGACAACCCAAAAGAATAATGAAAACATAAAAATGCCCCTGTGGTATTTCTCTTACCTTCCAGATCATCTTTTAGTAGTATATCAGAGAGAACTGTAAATGCAGAAAAGACTCATTAATGCATTTATGACATTGTTAGATTCTAATTTCACACTTGATTCCACACAGGAACACTGTATCGTACCGTCTACGCTGAGCAGGAAGTCAGTGGTGTCAGTCCCATATTCATTATTGATAGTGCAGCCATATACCCCACAGTCTTGGCTGGATGCCAGCACAATAGCCAGCGCTACTTGGCTTTCATCGCCTCCGCTTGGGATTTCAAAAAAAGGGAAAAACACACACATCAAATTCGCACCTAAGGTTTTGCAGATCCAACAACAGCCCACAAGGTGTCAGTGAGAGACAAAGAAACAAGCAGACAGCAATGTGCTGATGCAGCAGCCACTCGCCCATATATAGACTTTTAATGCTCCCTGGAGATGAGGGAAATATTGTGTCGGGTTACAGTTTCTGTGTCTAGCCAGAAATTCACCTCTCTGTGTCACAGCTGTGGGGTTCACAGTCACAGCAGTTAGAATATGAGAATGGCAGAGGGCCACACAGTGCACGCTGAGGCCCAAATTAATCTTACTTATCCTCCAGGCAATACTGTCTCACATTTGGAGCCTGTCCCACTTTTTACCAGTAATGTCGGCTATAAATCCTCAGAACAACAGCAACGAGAAAGGTTATGAAGTTAATGACAAATTGAGCATTGTGTGATATTGCTGGTGATTAGTTTCATGGGTGGTTAGCACAAGACAGAGATTTTACCTTCTCTTCACTTCCAGTATCTCTTCCTCTTCTCTGTACCACTTGATGGTGGAGTCACTGAGTACGTTGAAGAACTGGCACCACAGCTTCAGGTGTCCAGAGGCATCTGGGAACGGCTCTCCCCTGATCTTTCGGATCACCTGTGGAGCTGGTGGTGCAAGGGCACAATGGTAAATATATACTATAAAACATTGGGAGTGGAGACTCTAATGTTTAAACTTCCTCAAATGCCAGGGTAGAGATAATTATACGGACTATTACAGAATTATTATAATTATCATTACTGTAATTAGGATTTTGTGGAACCACTTGGTTTTTTAAATATTGTTTATGAATACTAAGCAGAATAAAGTTAGAGATGTTGCCGTAGTCATTGAACAGCCAATAACTTGTGATTCCAATGAGACTTATAGTCTTCATCAGTGTATATAATCCGTGTCCGTTTGTTTGTTGGTTGGTTTGGTTGTTTATGAGAAAGACTACACAAAAACTACTGAACAGATTACCATGAACATTTGTGGAAGAATGTGTTATGAGTCAGGGAAGAACCTTTTTACACAACTCACATTTTTTCCTCTTTCTTTAACATTGTGTGATAGGGTGTAGTGATTTATTGATTAAAATATTACCTTTCAATGGGTCTAGCTTCTTTTCAGCTGGTTTTTCCTCTTTTTTTGTGACTGCTTCCTCTTTGGGAGTCTCGTCCATGGCCTTTGGTACCTCCAGCGTGGCCTTCCTGCGGTTCAGCAGTGGAGAGCGTCTCTCCATCGGTGGTGTATTCTGTCCTTTCGGAGCTTGTAATAACGCCGCCCTGCGAGCCTGACTGGGTGACATGTAGGGGGTCTCCTTCTTGCCTTGAGTGTCCAGCACACCAACCACTGTTCCATCTCCATCCTCTTTAGGCTTAAGGATGAAGATTTTGCGGCGAGCGCCAGAGGCCAGCTCCTCGGGCGTGGCAGAGCGTATGAGGGACAGGCTGTCTCTGCGTTTCAGCCGGGGACTGTTCTCACAGGAGAGGGACGTTGGCGTCGAGCCTCCACTGAGATCTTCGTCCGCTTTGTCACTCTGACGATCACCCACAGTGATGACAGGGACAGCCGTCACTGTCTCACTGTCTGAGTCCAGAACAGCTTTGGACATGAATTTGCGGAGACTGGCTGGACTCAGTGATGGGTGTGCTGGGGGTTTGGAGCTGAGTCTGTCAACAGAAGGTCTGCTTCTCTGCACTTCCTCAGAAACTGAATTCTCTGTTTTGGGCTCTTTAAGAGGTTTTATCTTTGAAATTTCAGGAACAGTATTGTCTTCTGTTGTCTTATTGAATGATGGCACATTGTCACCAGCCTTTGGTGTAAGAGCTTCACTTAGCAAAGAAGGGGTGTTCTCTTTTATAATCTTCTCTGCCACTTCTTCGACAGTCTGTTGTCCACTCAGACTTTTTTCAGGCTTTGTCATCAAGTCATTGACCGCATTGTGATTTGTTACCCTTAGCGTGACATCAGTTTCTGTTTCTGTCCACTCACTTTGCGTGGGCAAGCTGAGACCTGGATCACTTTCATGACAAGTGACAGAGATCGGGGGCACCACAAACAAAGGCACTGTTGGAGTTTCGAAAGGCTCCAGTACATGCGAAACGTTGGCATTTACAAATGCATGATCCTCCTTGTCATCAGTGCATGACACATTTATAACAGGAATTAATGCAGTCTCCATCTGAGGGAGCTGTTCACTGCTTTGCTTGTGCGGCTGCCCCTGCTCAATTATCTTAGTCTCATCAGGTAATTGTGCAACTTCCTTTACTTTCTCTGTCAGTGAATTATTACTCTGCATACTTTTCTGCGAGGGCGAGTCTGGAAAGTCAGTCACGCTAATGTCTTGGATTATCGTCTCTGACATATGAGTTGCATCATGGCTTTGCAACATTGCCAGATCTGATTCTGGCTTATTCAATTCCAGAACAGTGCTATCTTTGAGCTCGGGCTCTATTATTTCAATTTTTGGGATTACAAAATGTTCATGTTGGTTTACATCTGGCACAGTTGGTTGAATATCTGTGCTGTCTTCAATGGTAGATATGTGGATTGTTGGAATATTCACTGAAGGCCAACCCAGTTGTTTCTCACTACCATGTTGATGTGTCAGTTCCTCCGAAACGTCAGCTTCACTTCCCTTGGTCTCTGCTACTAAAAGTGTTTTTGATTCATCCATCTCTTCTACTTTCTTCTCAATCTCTTCAATCTGTAGATGCTCATCTCTCGCTTCAGTGTTAACACTGTCTAAAATCACCTCCTTCTTCACATTGTAACACAAGTTACCCTCTAAACTGTTCTCTAAGGCAAAATTCGACGCCTCTTCCAAGTCACTTCTTTTTTCACTGCTGCTAAAACCTGAGCTTGCACTCTGCTCTGCACTGAGATTTTGGCCTTGTGAGACCTCCTCTCCTGCAGAAGGAAAGTGAAATTTGGGCTGTATTTTTAGGTCAACCAGCCCTAAACTCTCAGCCGGAAATCCCAAGCTCATTTCCTGAGTGGGTGAGGTACATTCGTTCTCTTCTCTTACACAATCTTCCTCTGCAGCGCAAGTCACAGCAGGCAGAGGTGGAAGCACCTGATCTGGTGTCATGTTCTCACATGGCTCTACTCTCTCATCCACTGAATTTGCTGGTAATTCAGTAACCTCAGATCTGTTTATATCTGAGCATGGCTGTTCGAGCAATTTCACTTCAGCTTTCTCTTCCTCACACAACTTGTTGGAGGAGGACGGGCCTTCCGCTGTGTCAGGTTTAACCACCTTGCCCACTAAATCGATATTCAGCTGCTCCTCTTGGGTTGCTCGACCAAAGCCGTGGCTGTCTGACAGTGAGATAACACGGTTAGGGGGAATCCAGCCTTCTTCAAACTTAGCAATAGCTGATGCAGGGTGTTCTTCATGAGGGGCTGTGGTTTGCTGTTGAGAGGCAGACATGTATTCCTTGGGTGAAGACTCATCTCTTGCAGCCTGTTGATTGGGCTCTGATGAATCTATCAAACACTCTGGTTCTCGCTGGTTTACAGGAACCTCTGTGTTGACGGAAGCTGTCTGAGAATCTTTGTGTTCCATCTTAGGGAAAGTAAAAAAAAAAAATTAATGCTATAAGACAAACCCAATGAAATACAAATTTGTTGGTTTGACTTGTTATGCATGCAAAACATTTTGCAGATGATTTGTTACCGGCTGAAAAAAGATTCAGCGTCATATTGTTGTTGTTTTTTTGCTATTACTTATGTTTCTATATCCTTTCCTTTTCCATCACTTTTTTTAATGATGTGTTATTTTATCTATATATATATATATAAATAATATTTTAAATCAGCAGATACATTTTGTTTGTTGTCTTTGAATTTTGTTCTGTTTTTAATTGTCTTCTTTGAGAAGCACTTTGTCACGGCTTTTTCAAAAGGTGCTACATTAACAAAGTTATTATTATTATGATAAAAAAAACTGCACACGAAAACTAAAAAGGTTGTGACCTCTGACTGTGTGACTGCATGCCTAATAAGTCAACAGAGGTATGAATTATATTCTGCTACAACCCAGCGTTACATCCTTGGTAGACAGGAAGTCTGTAAACAAAGTTGATCAGTTATCAGTCGATAGCGAAAGGCCTCCAAAAGAATGCGGGACAAGTACAGCCAGTCAATATATTCCTGTGTTTTTACGACCTGTCAGCTTATTTCAGGAACCCATTTAACTCCTGTCACGTGCGGGCGAGGTAGCTGTAACCAAGTGTTTCCTCATGGAAGGGTTTAATAAGATGTTCCACAAAATAGATTTTATCATTCTTGGTCAAACATTATCTAGATTAAGTTCTAAATGATCACCCATATAATCCTAACTTTTATGCCACAAAAAAACTGCAGTCAAGTTTTTTGCCTGTGGACTCATGTGTCTCGTGTTGAAACACGGACAGGGGAATTCCCATGCTTGTGTGCTATTGACACAGAGTACTTGCTGGTAGACTGCCAGTTATGCTCCACATAATTCTGTCTGTAACTAAAAAAACTAAAAAGAAAATAATTTCACGTGAAAGTCTTAATTTTAGTATTCCTGAAAGAAATATAAATATATATAAATATAATTTAAATATGACTGAAGAGAAGATTTACAGTGAAAACTTTCAGGTATGGATGGAAGTGTTATTCCCCTTTCTGCTCCTGTTTCCGCCATTCACACCATTAACATGTATGCGGAGGAGTAATGAAGCCACGTGCCGTCAGGTTTAGCCTTGACTACTGAGAACAAGAAGTTGTGGGTTTCAGTGGAAAGGAACTGGTGTCACATTTAGTCTAACATTGAAGTGCAGATCTGAACTACACGTCCATGTGTAAATAGATGTCCCACTAGTGAGAAAACATTGTTCAGACAAAGATCTGACTTCCTCCAAATCAGTCATCCATTAGGTCTCACACAGACAAAAAAGGTTAATTTGGAGTTCAATATTGCTCTGCAGCTGGATTGTGCTGAAACATAGTCACTTCACTTCCCTTTTCCAGCAACAGATAACTCAGTGTCAGTTCCCAAGTACAACTCACTGAAGAAAGCAATTCATAAACTCAAATATATTTGAATCTTAATAAATAATATGATGGAGAGCAATGTAAAGCTGTAGTGAAATTCCATGTATGTGTCCTTGGCCAATAAAGCCCATCCTGATTCTAATTCTCACTGTATTGATTATCAGCAATAATACATATCAAAAGGTTTTTGACCTGGTTCTTAGTGATCACATAAAAGAAGCAAAAATAAAGTTCTAACAACTTTAGAGTCATTTTCGACCTCTGCCAAGACGGTTTTAACCCCCGTCCATTTGATTGTTGGTTGGTTTGTATGTTCAGTTATCTGCACTCAGGATATGATGTTTCCACCCATCTGATTACACAGAAAACAACTCGAAAAACAATATTTTGAGATTTGTTTTTCTAAATTTTCCTTGATTTCTCTGGAAATAATTTATTGATCCTGCTGAAATAGATCAGGAATATTAAGGGAACTGATATCTGTGAGTGTGTGAAATACAGTGCAGCTTGATTCAATGGAAGGGGATTGTTAATTGTTGTTAAGCCTTGCCGAAGGTAAGCACTCTCCAGAGTGTCATTCTAGTTTATGTGTGTGACTAAAACCGTCTGTGTACCATCACATATTTAGAATCACATGCTTATAAGATTTAGTCATCATTCCAGTGAATATCAGTTAAGCATGCAGGCCGTATATTTAACTGCTTAATGACATACAGAATCAAATGATGGGGTGACTCAGGATACATTTTTCAATTGTTCAATCCTTTTTTTTCTCTTTGTTTGAAATTGAAGGGAAAGGTCAGTACCATTGCTTCAGATGAAGATGTTATGTTATTTGCCACATATAAAACATGTTTTAGCTTTATAACTTCAAAAAAGTCATTTCTTATATGTTTCTCTACAACCACAAAGATAAATCCCTAAGGACCACTATCAGTTTTTCTTACTATATGGCTGTACACACTGTGCACAGCTCATTTATCACAGCACCATAATCTTGATCCTCCACTTGTGACATACATAAAACAACTCAACGACCTGGACCCTGACATGACAAGTGTTGCCTTCCCCCGCTCTTCTTTAAATGAGCAGGACATTTATTTTAAGATATAGGGGACAGTGAGGAATGTGTCCAGTGTGACAGGGCCCTCCTTCATGCTGAGACCTGCCACGGGACTCGCTCCACTGCCGCTTAACCCAGAGCCTACAGCTCCTCTGTCATGCACAGCTCTGTTTGTAACAAGAGCCACTTCTGACATTCAGGTTTCATCATGATCTCTGACGCACTAGTGTTCTACTCTGCGCAGCCAACATCCGAGATATTCCAACAACCGATCTGACAGTGTGATATGTAGACACACAACAACTCCCACCCCTGTTCCTATTAGTTCCCTGTGACTCTCTATGTTCCCCACACTTTCCTATAGAGTGAAAAATGGTAAATGGTCTGTATTTATATGGCTTTTCATTTGCCATTCACACACATGCATTCATACAGTGCATCTACAGTATGTGTGACACTTTGTCTATCATGGATCACTCTTACACTGCCGGTACAATCGTCCGGGGCAATTCAGTGTCTTGCCCAAGGACACTTTGAAATGGGGGAAATGAGGATTGAACTTCTGGTAAGTGGACGACCCACACCACCTCTTAAGCCACAGCCTCACACATCCAGGCTGACTCTTTCAACCAGTATCTGATTCCTGACTTTCTGCTGAATGTATCAAACTGGGCACGTACTGTCTGATTGCCCCACACTCCCCAAGAATATAACATCTACGAATCGTCATCTGCTTTTCAGTCTCCCATATTTACAACCAGCAGATGTTCAAAACCTAATCTGCCATCCGTCACTGACATAGTTCAGGCTTTGGCACTGAAGTGGCTCATCTTGTCACACAAACGCAGTTTATAAATAACTCAGAGTGGCAGCCAGCTGACCGTTGTACGTACCTCGGTGAGAACTTGAGGCTCGGACAATGACACGTCTTCGCTTGGCCTGCTGCTCCCAGTCGCCTCAGACAGATCCATGGCCTCCGTAGCCCCAACAGCGACCTTGACACTCTGACCTGTGGACTCTTCTGTGCGCTCAGGTGGCGGTTTATCATCTGGTGGCAGGTCAGTGTGCAGAAAACTGTCTTCACACTTGTGTTCATGTGATTGTTGAACTATATCCACATGTTCTGAAGGCTCTTGTGGATGATCTGTTTCCATGGGAACAACGTCCTCTCTCGATGGTTTGTATACGTCTGGATTAGGTTCCTGGTGCAGCCTAAATGACAGCGGCATTTCTGGTTGAAGAGGCTGAAGTGAGTCGTGGTCAAACTCTTTCTCCTTGTTCTCAGTGTGATCGTGAGAGTCTTTCTTATTCTTACCAAAGAAGAAGTCTTTGACCGTGTGGATCATGGAGGAGAGGGAGGCCTGGATGTTGTGATGGTCATGATCCTTATGAGCCTTGTGATGTTTGACGTCTGAGCCATGTTTACCGTGGCCTGTTGTGTGCAACATCTCCGACGACCGTTTTCTTTCATTCTCTCCTTCTGCAGCCACGTCCTCTTCTCTTCTTTTCCCATACTCTTCCTCCAGAGCTTTCCCTTGTTCTTCCCACTCCTTTTGCATCCTCTCTTTCTCTTTGCCATCACTTACATTCATCTCTTTAGGTTTCTCCCCCAAAGATGAGTTCTGTTTCTCCTCAGCTGCCTGAGACTGGAGCGCCTCAGCCAAAAACTGGGCCAAACTGATTCCTCCATCGTAACAGTTTTCACCTCCGTTCCCCATCATGTGGCTTCTGCTGCTGTCACTGCTAATGTCAACATCGACACTATTTGAGATCTTTATTTTCTTTTTAACCAAGGCATCCTCCTTCTCCAGGCCGCTGTCTATGGATGTGACAGCGGCCATATCATTGACTTCCAAGGTAACGCCATTAGGTTCTGCAGCAGCTCCAAGTTGTTCTCCAGCATCAGGCTCCTTGACCAAAGGCCCATCCTGTGGCGGGATGTGCCGCTTCCTTGGAGGACGCTCTGGGCTATTTTGCACTGTCTCTTTCAGTATGTTTTCTTTATCTGCCTTTTTGGATTGTTCCTCAGATTCTTTCTTCTTCTTCTCTGCTTTCTGTTTCAGCTTAGCAAAGAACCGCTGGTGGATCTTGAACTCGCTCATGGTGCCAACCTCGAGAACTCCCGAGCAGGAGACAATGCCTTTGCTGTTGCTGGCTGACACCTGATAGATTGCTGCATCTTCCAATGTGCAGCTGAACAGAAACACTCATTAATCAGACATTAATCTTAATTATAGATATATTATATGAACAAGCTGCTACATTTCCACTGCATTGGTGTAATAGATTGATTATGGTCAGAGCTTTGTCTTACATACTTGTAAATATGGAGGGTGTGAATTTTTCCATTCCGTCGAATTTCATATTTTGGGAGTCCACAGTACCGGTCCATTTCCATATCATCTTTGTACCACTTCAGTTCTGGAGCTGGGTGACCTACAGACATGGATACACTTTGAGGAACTGATTGAAACATTCACCTATTCTTTGGCAATTACATTACATTATTCATACCACAAAGGGCTGCTTATATTTTGGCCGAGGAGGCTATGTTTTCATCTGTTGGTTGGTTAGTTTGTTTGATTGTTTATGACCAGGATTGCACAAAAACAATGATTTCCATGAAATTTTTCAGAGGGGCGGAGCATGACCCCCAAAACACCCCATTCAATTCTGGTGTGGATTGTTATACGAAGGTGGATCCTGGAATTCTATCTTAAAATCTTAAAACTACAACATTTCCATTGATTTTTCCGAATAATTCATAAATCTTGAGGGGGAAAAACCAACCATGTTTAATAGGCGATTTGAGTGTTTGCAGTGTGGTGCAGATCCAAACAAAATCTGGATCCAGTTTATTTAAATGTAGATTCTGTTGTTGCAAACGTGGCAGTTAATGCTAAATATTCTCATGAATCAAAACTTATATAGTTTATAAAATACATTAGAGACTTTGGCATCAACGTGTTTTGGGTTGTTGCATCATGTTTGGGATGTGTTACACATGGAAAAGCTGGACCTGCCCATTCAATCTGCCTGCAGCACAAAACACAGCATCTTGAAAAAACAGTCTTGTCATTGTCATATCATCTTTTGTTTATGAGGAGTTCATCCAGTGTTTTTATGTTTATTTCATTTACTCACTTCCTGTCTCTTCACAACTCTCAACTAAACTAGTCTGCAAATGTTAAGCAGTGACATATAGAAAAACACACTTGACCCACCTGAAACCGCACAGGTGAACTTCACATTGCAGTTTTCCGACACTGCCTTGGATTTCAAGGTGGTGTCAAAGGACGGCTGTATGTCCTCGGTCAGCTGAGCCATGATGCTGCACAATGTGCTCCTGGAAGGAAGCACTCCTGTGTTAAAGGGTCAATCCCTTCGCTTTCAGACACTGGACAGTTTTACACTTCAGCAACACGTAGGGACATCTCCACCTCTGTCTGTGCAGCACATTCAAATAACTCAGGGAAGGATGTTAATCAATATTTCTGGTAGTGAATACAATGTGAAAGGAGTAAGAGACTTGTGAAATCTCAGGCAAAACAGATTTGTCAATCCAACAACAAAACCGTTTTCGTTCATCATCACTGAAACCGAATGCAACACTAGACAAACGGGACACATTTCATTACAGTCAAAGACGTGATTGTGTTTCATTCTTGGGAGTAAACCAGTTGTTGTGGTTAAGATGTTAGTCGGGAGAAATGTTTTTAAGAGTATGGATTACCTCGCTGGCCTGTAGTGAGAATACCTTGAATAGCTATTCGGAGAGGAGGCAAATAGAGGGATGTCAATGATTGCTGCCCTCCTCTTTGACAAAAGGAACATTTCATTAATTATTATTTGTGATACATGTGAATTTCTAACCCACAATGTGATGCCCTCAACATGGTAAAGAAAACACAAATGGCTTGACTAATTAACTTTGCTTTACTTGATCTGTCTGACCGAGTTGCTTGTACTCAACCACCATATAATTAAAATGATTGATTTTTAAACATACAAATCTGCTTCACAAGCTGCACATGCTCTTAGTACACATGGGTCATATATGATGCTTTCTACCTGTTTTCAGGCCTAACATTGGAGAGGTAACTACTGCGACCTTCTGAACGGCCATTGGAACCGTTGCCCTCATCTTCGCTGAAGCTGCTTGTTCTCCCATTAGCAGAAAAAGAGCGAGTCATTGGCCTTCTGGAAGTCATTGTCCGTGGGAGTGGTTCACAAATAAAAAAGCGTAAAATCCGAGATAAATCTGTCAGCCACAGTAAAACATTCAAGGCTCAAACTTCAGGGTGGTATCCATGTAAAAACCTCTGGAGAAGAAAAAAAAAAGGAGAAACGTTTCAATTGAAGTTGATCAAAGACGTTGTGAGACACACTGGGGTATTTGTTCAAACACACAGCTCAGACTCAATGCTTGTCCTTTCTGACAAGGCAAAGTACTTGCCTTGGAGCAGGTTATAAATAGATCAGCTATCAGGTTGTAGCAGGGCTGTTTAGTGGTCAACACAAACCCAAAACATACTTTATACTTGTACGGGTTAAGACTATAAGTCATTGTTTCTCTGTTCCCTTAAATCTTGGTCAAATCTTCCAACTTACCATTGAGATGTTGTCAGTGTTGATTTGGAGGCAGAGTCTGTGAAGAAACTCTCTGTAACTGCCTATCATAGACATGCATGTGTTGCCAGCAGGCTCCTATTTATAGCAGGCCTACAAATAGGTGCAGGAGCACATCAGAATTCTTTCAGAACTAGACTTTAGACTTAAAATTTATATTTCAGACTCAAAGAAGTCTGAAATATAAATCGAGTTTAGAAAAACAACAATAGTAACAGCCAGAAAACATTCCAAAAGAAAAATCATCGCTTCATCAGGATGTCATACTGGAAAAAAATCACTGCTGTGTTTGGGTCCATCTCACAAGGTTGGATAATGGCGATTGCTTCTAGGTCAGACACTGAAAGTGAGTGGAGGTGGACTTTCACAACATGTCTGTAGAACATGACTCATGACGTAGCTGGTGACATCCAATGGTCGATGTCCTGTGTTTTGCTCAAGTGCTCTTACTTCATTGAACACATGGTCAAAACACAGTGACACACTCACTTCTCACATTTCACATCGATTCCACAAAAGCAGGCTCATGAGATATAATCTATATGCTTTGATTTACAGTGTATTTTAGAATGTGTATGTGTTTGTTTTGTCATTGTTTTAGATTGATCTAACTATTTTTTAAGATTTTAGACAGTTCTTGAATGGTGTCAGGCTAATATCTAGTTTGTTTCCTGGATTAAATCTTTTTTACATCTTTACAGTTAATTTAAGTGAAGTTATGATTTTCGAAAAACTAATGTATTTTATTATTTGTCTTCAATATGGTGTTCATCTGAGAAAAATATATGTTGGGCTTTCCAATTAAAACTAAAACAATTAAACTGAAAAAATACATTGGAATCAAGGGATTGTTTAAAAAAGATGATGCATATTTTCTGCACATTATATTATGGCTGGCAATGTATCGTTGCTAGTTAGCTTATGTGCTTTTAGGAATTTATGAGTTTGTTTTCAGTGTAAATGAACTTTTAGCCATTTGATTTCTTAAATGTATCATTAGATGGTGTAATATTCCTCCTGGCCTGTTGGAGCTGGCCAAAAATAACAAAAAAAAATCTGGGGAGAGTTCAGGAAAACTATTATTTATATTGAGTTGTTTGCATTGAATTAAGACTGATTAAAGACTGTCAAGTGCTAGTGTACAATCGCTCACGTCTAAGTAAATGCAAAAGAAAACGACCCACATGATATTGTGTGTTTCTGTTTGCTTGTTTGTTTGTTTGTTTGTTTGTCCTCTCTTTGGAGTTAAATCTTGTGCTACTGCTGTAACATGTGAATTTCCCCACTGAGGGACAATAAAGGAAATCTAATCTAATCTAATCTAATGAGAGAGAGAGAGAGAGAGCGCGCAATATACTGTGTGTCTAAAAAACAGCAGGTTAAATATAGCACATGTT